AAGTGAAAAAAGGGCAGCTACGGAGCGACAAAAACAATTCTCTCGAGCCGTCCACTTGATGGAAACAGCTCCTCCAAAACAAACAGTGTTGTTTGGAGGTGATACAAATCTACGAGATAAAGAGGTTGGTGAAATTTCATTTTGATGTTGCCAAGTATGACTTGAATTTACTCTGTGAATCTATTCAGACATCTTAACCTGTTAACACCCTTTTTAGGAAAACAAAAATGGTACTAATTAAAGGATCTGAATGTTGGTTACAGGTGGAGAAGTTTTGCTTGCCGACATCCATTCATGATGTCTGGGAGATGATTGGATCCCCTTCAGAGAGCAGATATACCTGGGATCAGACTAGCAATGATAACAAAGTCTGGCCATTCCGAAACCGATCACGCCTTCGTTTTGACCGCCTTTATTTGAGGCACCCCGAAACGATGTCAGAAGTCCTAGCACCAAACACGTTCGATCTTCTTGGCAGAGAACGGCTCTCATGCAACAAGTTTCCAAGTGATCACTGGGGCATTGTTTGTGATTTTCAGGTAAAAACGTCCCCACCACAGGTTGCAGAGGGGTCTCCTTCCAAAAATTCAAATCTTTGCATTCACTTGGACAATAAAACAGATATTTTCCTTCACTGAGTACTTTCCAATCTATAGATGTCTTCACAACAAAAAAAGATCCAGCATGTCCAAAGCCTGGTGTCGGTGTCATCACAACGTACATGTACTTTAACCACTTGGCACCAGATGACCTGTAATCACACATAATTTTCCTCCTTTGTTCCACGGAGAACGTGTACACTCATTTTGTTTACTGCTGTAAACACACAAAGTGTGGCACTACTTTAACCATGATCTCCATTAAGAAAAAGAACAAAAAATGCCCATTTTCAGAAAATTCAAATCGCCATATCTCAGCAACGCCTCGACCAAATACAGACATATTGGTATCAATGTGCTCAGAATTATTCCCTCTTTCAACACAACACAGTCATAAAGCTTATAGAGCAACTTCAAAAATCCCATTTCTGTCCCTACATATGTCATTTGTTTGTGTACGACTACAAATGAAAGAGCTGAACCAAGTCATGTGATAAAATCAGGTGACCTTTTCTTTTCATAGTCAAAAATGGACGAGCCGGAAAACAAAATGGCCGCGCCCTTGGAACAAAATGTGAGTGTTTCCTGATTTTGAAAGATCGTTACTTTTGTGGCTGCATATAGGTCTTTTAATTTGTTTCTATCGATAATTTTGTCAAGTACAACATTTGGAACATGAGAGGAACAAAAGCAAATACAAATGGCCCAAGGAAGCGGCGAAATGAAAGGTCAAACAACTCTCAAGAAATACCGACAACAGCGGCAACCAACACCATGACCACAATGGAGGAGGGTACCGACATGATCGACCAAAGCGACGTGTATGTAAATCGAACAGCATCAACAGGTTCTCGAAGTAGCAGAAGGAAGGAAATGAGGCAGAAAAAGGTATCATTTTAGAAAAAATTTTTTCGTGGTTTTATATATCATGTTGGCCTGTTGACTATTGTAAGTAATCATTGATCTCCATTATATCATAGAGGAAGGAACACTTCCTCCATGATTATATAGACTTGATAGGACATCGCGTCCGAAACGTGTCCCGCGTATTTTCAGGAGGATAAATAACAAGCGTTGCAAATTTCATTGCGTGCACTTTCAAATGGAGTTTCTTAAAAACCGGTTGAGATTTTTGTGCATCAATCGTCAGATTTTGAAGAAAAACTGAATTCTGGGCTCGGAATGGATAAATTTGGAAAGAATAATGGTTGAGATGTACGCAGCAGTGAATTACCGGAGATCAGCGTCAAGTTTGGAAGAAGGAACAGAAGGAAATGTGAGTCACTTTTTTTTAGTTTCAGAAAGTTTCTCAAGTTGCACTTTATAATGCTTAACTTTAAGCCTGTATACATGTAGGCCTAGTAAGAAATTTATGACAGTCTATCTAGCCTATCAGGCATTGTAGGCCTATATGAAACTTGACTATCTCAAAGTTGGGACCGTCTGAAATGCTACTTATTGGCAAAAGTGGTTTCAAAACTGAATGACTGATTTGTTGTTTATTTTCCCCAGATTTCACTGGAAAAATCTCCAAGACTGTGTTTGTCGGATCTAAAGATGCACTGAACCCAAATCGTGTGACAGACGATGTGATATGAGTGACAGAATTCTTCGTGGCAGAGATGAAACCAAAGTGAGAAGCAGAGTGCTGATGTTTCTGTTGAATGAAGTTACAAACAAAGGGATTCAAAGCCTTCAACGCAATGAAAGAAACTTTGTCTACATAACAAAATTATTAGTTCTGTGTTAAAATATTGACTTTTTTATGCCGGCAAGTAGTTGTTAAATGTAAATCTGTATGTCAGGTTGTGAACTCAACTTTTTAAGCTGATTTATAAGTGTCTGTGTTAAAAACGGCAGTAAGTATGTTTGGTCACTCATTTAAAGCTGCGCTTACTTTGTGCTCACAGAAAAGATTCTCACACTTCCATATATCGCATGTCGGTTTTCAATACAATTCACTCAATATACATGTATGAATGAATTTTATTTAGTACAAGTTTTCCTGAGAGTGTGTAAAATTAAAATCATTTTATTGATGATTTTTCAGTGTTGGCTCTTTGAAACCAGACGGAAAAATACACAGACAGTTTGAACATCCTATTTACTGACAAAACCTATTGCATGTCCTGGTGGAATTCTCAAAGGTTTATACACTGAACAAATCATGATTGAACCGACCCAAAGTGGAAATATTGCTCAAGCGAGACCATAGACAATAGGTGTAGAAAAAATGAATTAAAACCAAACACCCACAAAAAGGAGTTAACATTTGAGTGGGTTAGTTAATAAGAAAATGGCCAGTTATTTCCTGAAATGATATTCTTGCATTTTCTGTTTATTTTTGGCTTGTTTTCGGGAGGGAGGCCGAGGGCTTAGCCATCATTCCATGAGAAAAAGGTTATGTTGACCAGAAATGCACGGCATACAGCATCACATTACCCTCCTGAAGCGCCGCCATTGTTCGGCTGCGCATTTTGTACACAAACAATGCGCGATGTCCTCCAGTCTATACAATGGAGATCAATGCTAGTAATATTGTTAATATTTTAATTTTTTTTGTGATTTTGTTATTTCTGCACAGACATAGCCTAAATTAGATTTTAGGTGTTGCTCAAATCTCAGTGAGTGGAATTTATAGTAATTGAAGTGACTTGCACTGTATCATTGTTGAGAATATGATTCTTCCTAAGTGCCAACTGCTTTAATTTCAATGAAATTCGCATTGGGCCTAATAGCTTTGTTAATGTTAAAGGCTTTATCTTGTCTGTGTATGTCACTTATGATGCTTATTGTTTTCATTACATTTTAAATTTTCTTGCCCTATTTCATCAAACAGGGTCTTCTTTCAAAATGTTTCCATGTTGGAAAGTATGTTTTACTTGTTCTGATTTTACCTGCCATACTGAACCATGCATCACTATATCGGGAAGCTGCCGAGTTGAAACCAAAGGGTAAGGCTCCGATCGTACAACTAGACGTGCTTTCTTGTGTTTGTATAGATGACTAGTTGCCAAATTCACAACAGAAATGAAGGAATTAAGAAAGGCAGCTCATTTACATGTACTTAAAACCCTGTTTCTATATATGATATCCATGTTGTTTCACATGCTTTCATCTGCAAAGGTTAGTGAGATTGTCCCATTTTCAATTGACATCTCCCTCAAAATGATAATAAAAGTGCCTCCATGTAAAAAAAAAGCTTACTGAGGGTGCAAGTGCAAAAGTCATCTTAGATTAACACCATTAGGTATTAACATCACACATGTAAAAGATTCCTGAAAGTAGTATTGCTGTAATGAACATCATTTTATCAAGAATATGCCGAGACTACAAAGTTTGTTTACAATCCAATTGCTTTATTTTCTTAGGTGAGTTGTACGATGTTGGTTGGAATCACAAGCTTCAACTGAACTGTGCCGGATCTGGAGCACCAACAGGTAAAATTACATGTGGTTTTGAGGTAACCAATTGCACTGTAAATTAGCCCTCTGGAGGAGAAAATGTTAAGATCCCTTGGCTGTGTGGCATTGTATTACTGCTTGTCTTTGTTTTGATTTCAGTTGTCCTTGACGCACCGACTGGTATGACATCTGATGTGTGGTGCTTGATTCAACCTAGGATTGCTAAATTCACCAGGGTGAGTATCTTTAGATTGTAAGACAAATATTTGTCGAAAATTCTACTGGCAGGGAGTAACGTCCTTGATACTTTTGCAAGGAAAAACCTTCCTTAATCTACCCGGGTCTTCGAAAACGTCTCGGTAGACTTTTGAGCATTTACAAAAGTTCAGGTTAAGTTTTTAAAACATGCCCTGGTTGTGAAATGATTAGAATAATCCAGCAGCTAGCAATAGAGATAGAATAAGAATAAATGTTGTTTAAGAGTAATTGCCTTGTTCCCATTTCATTCAAGTTGGGGGATTGTAGAAATGAATTATTAAATTTTGTACCTGTTTTCTTTTGGTGATCCATTCCACAGGTGTGTTCTTATGACCGGGCTGGACTTGGCTTCAGTGAAAGGACACCAATGGTCAGTTTGGAATCATTCAAATTAAGACCAGTGAAATAAATTGTCCTATCGTAATTATGAAATGTAACTTGGGCAGGGAATCAAATGTTAGTCAGGGGTAGTTATTTCATAGTAATAAAGTTATCAACAAACGATTTAAAGATATTAGGGCAGCAAGTGCATATCCCAATGAGTTTCAGTACTGATCACTGATGTATGCTCATCAGTGTCTGTGCAAAGTCTTTTAATGCAAAATATAAACAACCAGACGAGTCGGAGTAGTGTAAAAGTGCAACCAGCTGTGAAGACATCTAATTACAGCAAAATATCTTTTGGTTGGCTTTTTTAACAGAATTTTTCATCAGAAGCCTACACAGTTGTCAATAAAGAGAGGGGTCAACCCAGCACCGTAGAGAGGTAAGCTTAAATAACCTCAAGTTTAATGCCTTCTTGAACAAATTAGCCCTATTTAGGGGAGGGTAGTGTAAGGCCTAATACATGTACATGTATTTGATTGGTAGGATGTGCAGGTATAGTGGTTTGAAACAATTATCGTCACCCCTAAAATATTGTATCATTGACTCCTTTTTTGTTTTTGCCTGTGTTGGTTGTTGTTAGTAATCAGACATAAATACTCAAACATGTAGTTTATTGCATCTTTTTTCAGGATGGCTGAAGACCTGTACCATCTGCTGCGATTTAGCAGCGACCAGCCTTTGCCATTTATCTTGGTGGGGTCAGAAATTGGCTCTTTAAATGCAAGGTTCTTCACTCAGATGTATGAAAGGTCAGTTGAAAGTTTACAGTGCAAACATTGTACAACAAATTCAAAGGATAAAATGGCACCTGCTCCAACAGTTTCCTTACATATGTACTACCTTTATTTTGAATTTTTGCATTTCATTTTGATTTTTTTTCCCTCCAGTGCTGTGGCTGACTTAGTTCTAGTTGACCCTTTAGTTGAAGGAATGTTTGAGCTAGACGATGGAATATGGAACAGCTTTTGGTGAGTTAGCTGATTTTTTGTCCAGTTTCCTCCTTTACAGACGTTTTACCTGTTTCTTCTACCTCCTCCATTTGACATTTACACGGTTGTCAACTGAGGAACTACATGTATTGTGGGGGGGGGCTTCCCTGTAGTCATTTCAACTCTTCAAAAATTTCCTTACTCTTTTCAACTCGCCATTTTGAGCTTTAATTTGTCTAATTTTTCTTGCAGGTTTGAACATCTTTTACCCTCTTTCCAGTCACTGCAACTCTCTGCTGCTATTGGTCTATCCCGGATTGTCTTGCTACTGGGTCTAATGGAGCTGCCAATCACAGGCCAGGTTATACCAGAAGACGTTGTCATCAGACAAGTAAGAGTCTTTGTCATTGGTCAGCCGTTAACTCTTACAACCCTACCATGATTTTTTTTCACTGAGCCCTGCAACTTCACTTTACAATTTGCACGAGGTAAAACTGACGTTTTTTATTGTCATTCTAGAAATACTTGCTGTGCCAGCCACGCCACTTGAGTTCCATTGTTGACGAGCATTATTTCATCAACCAAAGTCTATCACAGCTGAGGTAAAGAAAATGTTGAATGTTACTCTCACATTGTAGAGACAGAAAAAGTAAGAGTTTTTGAGTGGGATGGGGTTCAGATTTTGCAAATAAATTTTGAGACCAGTACTTTGTGTACTGTCTGAGAAAACTGCCTCAGAAATTTTCAGTATTTATTTTTTAAAATTTCTTTTCAAATCCAGAACAGCGTTCCAAATCAAGCCATTTCCAGAATCAGTATCTGTGACCGTGATAACTGGCAACTATTACGATGATCAGCTACCCAGCTCACTCAACAAGGTGAGAGTTGTGGATTATCACTACACACTGGCAACTTTTATTTACAGAGGACTCAAGACAGTGTTGTATTCGAGTCCATTACAAGTCCCTGTATTAGTCAATCACAGATTATTCATTCTTAAGCCAATTCACAAGCTATTCAACTAAGCTATGACAAAAACATTCTTTTGTCACTGTTAACCCTGTTATTTGTAACTGGCCTTGTAAAGGGACTTGTGAAAGGACTTGTGATGGACTTGAATACTGGCTTAAAAGAAAAGTAGAATTATTGGAAACCTTTCGCAACTGCTGCTAATCCTTGATTGTTTTCGGATTCTTCTAGGTATGGGCGAAATCTCAGCAACACTTGATGTCCAAAATTCACCCCAATGCCAAGCACATCCTGATCAATGGAGCTGACCATCACATGTTATATCGCAATCCTAATGCCATCGTCGAGCCGGTACGCAAGTTGGTGAAACAGTGGCGAGCCAGGAATAGCGCTGCTTACCAGAGGAGCTTAAAAACAAATACAGATTCGCCCCCCCAGTGAACCTCAAGAAAGTAGGACATCATAACATTCAGCAGATTACACTAAAGAGCATCTTTAAAAGTGTTGGAGGTCTCGAGGCTGGCCTTGGCCTCTTGGCTCGTGGAACCTAGACTCTCCAATGGCATGATGGAGCTAAATAGTTTTTTTATCCCCAGGGAACATACTTACTTCCATTGATTGTTGTGTGAAAAGGATAGCTTTTCTGTTGCATTAGGCTACATGTACTCATTGAAATTGTTTTCCTGGGTTGGGATCGCTTGAAATAAAAACCTACCTCTTTTGTGTTGTCCTTCGGTTCTACATTCCATGACAAGTTCTGCTTAAAAGGTGAAATGTAAGCTTTCTGTACAAACTTTGTTCTCTGCAAATTTCTAGAAAAGAATTTTCGGCCAAATTTCTGATTCACTCTTTGACATTTTGAACGGTTTGTCAAAAATCAGGGGAACCAAAAATTGACCAAGAATTTACAGGGAGATTGGTTACTCTCTTCATGTGATTCCAAATACGTTGTTCATTCTCATTTATATGGTTGCAGGACTCATTTGGCAACTGTGTGAACTTCAAACTATCTTACATGTACCTGATTTTGTTTTGGGATTAATAGCCTGCATTTAAGCCTTACCTTTTTACATTTTAGTTTTTATGATTGAAAAAATATTGAGGAATTATTTTGTGAGGAATTATTTTGTGGGGAATTGTATGTGTAAAGAGCAATTAAAGTTTTACATTTTTCTCTTTTTGTTATGGTGGGGGACTCCATACTCCTACTTTGTTGAGAGAAATCTAAAAATTGAACTTTGCAACACCTGCCAAACAAGAGGGAATTATGCCAATTCAGATTTGTTTACTGGGTTGTTAACAATGTTAACTGAAAGTACATGTAACTAATCAATGAAACACAGCACTTGGTTTTTTAATAGACAAAATAATCGGGATATTGTGGATATAGATGAATCTTGTGTGCCAGCCAACAGTGCCAAAAGTACTCATGTTGTATGTACATATGTAATAACTGGCCTTGGCCTCGAATGGCAGTGACTCAGCCATGAAGGCTGTGGACTCGACTCCAACACTGATCTTTAACCCGTTGAAATAAACCTCTGGGACATGTCGCAACTTCAGTAAATAAACAGACAATTAAAAATAATGGATATTTCCAATGCTGGATGTACTGAGAGAGTATTATTCATTTTATAGTTAAGAAAAATCCGCTACATTCAATATCCATCCACTTTTCAGGAAAAACATACTGTTTATGAAAACTTTACGGGCCTAGTTTTACTTACAATCCCCAATCATGTAAACATATCTTGCCCCGAACATTTAAGAACTATATTTTTGCCCTATACAATCCAGTGATAGTGTTGTACTAATGCCATCTACAAGTCAGTTTTCTTGACAGTTTAAACAGATTTATTTCCTTTACACTTTTTGATTGTATAAACTCTCTATTTCCTGCTGTACAGTTGCCAATCTTCTCTACTTTTTATATTCATTTCAATTCCATACCTTTGTGCCTGGCTGTTTTGGCTTATCACCTTCGTATATGTACATAGTATTAGATGAACGTTTTTTATCTCTGAAGCAAAGAATAAATAAATGAATAGGAAAGTAACCCAGATGTACAGCTACATATATTTTTCTATATATAATTTCTAGGATTTCCATTTTCATGAATAGAACTATCAAGAATATGCGCAAAAAAAAGTAAAATGGATGGGTGACCTTATTTAACATAGAATTCAAGATTGATTTCATTCCCTAGATGTGAATCTTTTGACCACCCAATTTAAAGACAGGAATGTATTTTTGAGTTAGTAAATAGTAGCAGTGGTTAGTGGTGTTCAGTCAGTACTGTCTATGAAAATTAACATTACGTAATTCTGTAGATTTTATGAAAAAGGAGAGCACCTGAGTACCATTGAGTGTCAATTCATGGTGTTGGTGACACTTACGTGCCACAGCATCAAATTGAAACCACCAAATGCAACAAATGGTATTTTGTTTGAAATGAATTTTGATACAACTGCATGTATTAGCACAGGAATGAAAACTGACCACATTAGTACGTACATGTAGCTGGCAAAATGTTTGTTACACTTAAATAGAAAAAGATGTTCAATTATGCAAGCATTTCTCATAACACTTCCATTGTAGTTCTCACAAAATAAAAAAGATGATTCAATAAATGCCCCGTGTTGATCTTGCTAACTTATAATATAAATATAAGAGTGATGTGAGCGTCGCGACTTTTAATGAATTCAACTGACCTTTGACCCTGCCAGTTGACAACAGATTGGCTGCAGTGATGTACGTACATGTATCTTAACTGGATCAACGCGGGGAAAGTTCAAACCAATCAATTCTAAACAACACTTATCAGCACAAAATAATTCAAGGCAGAATCTGTGTGTACAGAATCTGGCATGTAACAAATACCGGCAAGGGGTTCTTAAACATGAAAGAAACATAAATATACACTAAAATAAAGGCAAGATAGTTTATAAGAAATAGGTAGGAAGTTACAAACTGAAACAATAAAAGCTTGGATACATTTAAATCATGGGAACATACATGTAGGCCTTCATCTGATGTCATGTGTTTTCATGTCTTTCAATCTCTAGCTTTTCACCAACATCATTTGTTGCTAAGGTGTTGCTTGTTGTCTTGGTAACAGTATAGACAGAATATGCGGTGACACCAAGAAATACACTGGAATGAAATGCAACAAAATCTTGTCACTGGTAATAATAATGCTTGAAGAGTTGCAGCAATGATTTTTTTAGATGAAAGTTTCAAATTTTTTGGCAGTGTTGGCAATTTGCAAAAAATACCAGAAAAATGCGACAAGAAAACCAGTAAATTATGGAAACTGAATGGGTTTTTCATCATGCGCATTACTGAGAGGTAGCAACTCTTGAAAAACCGAAGAAAAATTGATAAATTTGATGACCTTTGCAGGTCTCTCCAGCACTACATGTACATGAAAAAAATCATGATCGGAATACCTTTGGACTTTCAGAGAAATATTGGGTACTAGTCAATATCACAGTTTAATTGTCACTATGGGTGCGTTCGCGCAGTTGCTCCTGTTAAAACCAGTAGGGCACATGCGCATTACACTCTGGTATACTCTAGTACTCTAGCGAAAGTACACTCTCGCTGACTTGTGGGTCATACTCCAGCCGTTTGAATACTCAGGAGTATACTCATGTTAACATGACTAGCTCGATCGAACACACCCTATATTTTCTTTGTTCCCTGGTATTCAGGATTTTTGAATGTAAACAAATGAACAGTCTCTGTGAACCAGCTTACTATACCATTCACTTGCCCTCACCAACAGATTCTGTAAAGTGCCTTTCGCAGCCTGTGCATGATGCATCATCCATGTATATGAATATTCTTTGGGGGAATGGCTCTGTTGCATGTTATCACTAACCTTAAAGCAAAGTCACCAGTGAACATCCCCTCAAAGATGGCCAGAGATACTAGGATCAGAACAGTCTTGGCATTGGCTATGGCAAGTCTGGACAGCAGGGATGGGCTAGGACACCGACTAACACAGATACCAGTGAGATTCATTGCAGCTCCAAGGACACCACTGAAAAAACATTAGAAAAGAAAAGTGGATCATTTTGTCTCATTTGTTACTCTATCAATGCAAGGAATAGAAAGAAGACATAAATATAATTTTGATTACATTTCACAATTGTTGCCTGTGGTTTAGGGGTTGATGGTGTTTTGCACACCTGAGGGGGCAAATGGCACTTGAGGTGAAGCTGAGGGTGTCATTTGCCCCCGAGGGTGTACAAAACCCATGGACCCCATCACAGCGGGCAACAATTGTTTTGTTATACAAATGTACTATGGTCGCAGATTTCACAGGAATGACCTTCTGCAAGGTGATCTAAAACACTTTGACAAATTAAAACCCTGTGAATAGTAAATTAGATATTAAATTCCAAGGAAAATTACAGATTGAGATGTCCTTCGTTCACATCGTTTTTTTTTGGGGGGGGCGAGTCTAGCATTTATAACAAACTCTTTTGACAGCAAAACCTGGGATTCATAAAGCATTGGGTTTTTTTTGAATGGTTGAATTGAAAGAAATTATTGACACCAAAAGTATTGATAAGATTGAAGAGCAGACGAAAAGAGACATAGGCAAGAGCTTTTTATATGAGCAGCAATGCAGAAACAATGATCAGAGCTACAAGTTTCGCAAGCACATAGCTGGGAGCATGAACAGAAGTCTAATCATCTGGGGGCGGGGGACTCCGTCATGGTCAGAGTGAAGAGAGTGGCACATACCAATGGACACAGTGCTTCAATGTCCCCAACATAGAGCACATCTCCTACAATAACAGGTGTGTTCTAGTACCATTGCACCTACATGATACATGCACCCTTGTAAACATCTCACGCGATCAGTTCACAAGCAATAAAAATTCTCTATCTATGACCTGGTATAACAAAAAATCATGTCTAGGGCCAACAACTTGCACATCAATGATATTAAGAATTAAACAGTGCATGTACATGTACCTTTTCGGAAAAATAAGCTCCTTAAAATTAAAAATTTCAGGCCAGAGGCAACTGGAAGAGATCTGAAATGGCATTACCTTAAAATACAACCAATGTAGAATCGATACAGAAACCAATGAGGAAACTCCCGTGCTGCTACGATGTCACCTGGAGAAATGTAACACAGAGTACATGCAACAGCAAAGTGGCACATTAAACACTATTTATTTGAACTTGTTTGTGGCTTTTGGTTCAAACATCCTGAATTGGCAACTACACCGTAAGTTGGAAGCTGAATGAAGATATACATGTACTGTATATCCTCCCACAATAACTTTTGAAAGTACTAGAAAAATGCAACGCTTTCTGTCCCAGTTTCGGGCGTAATTTTTTAAACATTTAACTACAGAAAAAAAACAAAACACACACACACACATAAAACTCTGCAGAACAGGTTTCAATGATGTATCCCCAAACTCTTTCTACAAACCATGTATAATCATGGACTGCTGGGGAGTAACTTACATGTATGTGGTTTCACTTTTGTTTCTTTGATGTTCTTTGCAAGAACGTTTCTATTTGATTTGCATTTCATAAGCTCCTAAGTACATGTACGGGAGTCATTCTTCTTCAAAGACAAAACTCCATTCAGTCCGCTCACATTTTCTCAGGTACTTGCTGGAGGCAACTAACACCAAACTGAATGAAAATGGCTTTGCCGCAAGAGGAAAATGACTTTTCCAAGATTTTGAAAGTCATGCTTTAAGGAATGATGCTATTTGGACGACTGCTATAAAGTGTATGGCACCTGTTGGACTACTTCTGAATGGGTGTTTTCTCTACACCGTGGTGCGCATTAAATCTATGCAATCCATTGTCAATGTCTACTTGGCCAATTTGGCAGTTTCTGACACAACTAACTTGGCCTCCTTGATTGTTATTGCACTATGGCCGCGCAGTGAGCTACCAGGTGTTCGGATAGCCATTTTGTACTCGGTTAGTAACTTGACCAGCATTGCGTCCTACTCGATCGTAACTGCATTGACTTTTGAAAGATTCTTTGCCGTAACTCGTCCCCTGACATTCAGATCCCAGCAAAGCAAATCAAGAGCTGCCAAAATATTGGCAGTTTTGTGGAGCATGGCAATTGCAGCAGGTGTTGCATACCATTTCGCAGCTGTTTATGGAGGGATTGCTGGTGAAATAGCTGCTCACGTGATGATCATTCTATTTCATACCACTGGTCTGTTTATCAACGTGGGCCTATACGCTTGCATTGTCAAGAAACTACATGAGCAACCACACATTAGATCAACAGATAATCATCACCATCAGGTGCGAAGGGCAATCATCATGCTCATCGTGAACACTACAATTTTCTTCACCCTCAACATAACTTATATCACTCGATTTATCCATAATTTGGTACTTGTGTTGTCCAATCTCTCCCTATATGACAAAATCAATTTCCTCCATGTATATACCGATCTTCAAGTTGCCTCTTTTATTGTACATTTGTTGAATACCTCCTTAAACCCTCTGGTCTACAGTTGCACCAATAAAGACTACAGGAAGGCCTTTTTGACAGCATTTTCCTCTTGCTTCATATGGCATCTCTGCCCTTGTTGCCAGCAAAGCCAGGCCCCACCACAGCAACCAATTGAGGACATAGAACTCAAAGTAATCCATCAAAATCAAGATATTCCTAAGAAGTCACCTGAGCTCACTACGGAGCAAATCCACAAAGCCCAAGTGCAAGTCCACCAACTCCACGATACCCTACGAGAGCCAGTGGAACACAATGAACTTCAAGGGATCAAACAAAGCCAGGCCGTTCCACTCGAGTCAATGGACTATGTTGAGGAGCAAATTCACAAAGGTCAACTGTGCGTCCATCAAGTTGAGGACAGTCCACAAGAGCAAGCACAGATGACAGAGCTGCAAGGAGCCCACCAAAGCCTAGATGCCAGACTACATACAACAGACTGAACTGCACAACATGTCATGAACCCACCAGGAACAGACAACCTAGACCTGGTATCAACTACATGTACGAACCTAAATGAATACGATTTAGCCAGTAATTTCATTGCAGCATCGATATTAAGCAATCAAGATTTTATGGCTCACTTGTGACAGAAATTTTAGAATGTCTAAAGAGGAAATTTTAAAGAGGAAGATAGCTTGACAACGCAACACTTGATGAAGTCCTAGAATCATCCTTTAGCGTTATCTTTTCATTACTCTACGGGCAAATCAATTTTCCATGTAAGTAATAAGTGTTTGTGAAGTTCCCCGCCCCCCGGGTATATAATTTATTGCTCTTCAATCAGCTAATATTCAATGACATTTGATAGCAATACTGGCCCAGAATATCTTGGAACAATTCAAAGTAATAACAAAAGGATTACACATTTCAATGTGTATTTTGGAGTTCTGACATGACGAGACAGAACAGAGCAGAGATTATAATAAGAGTGTGGAATCAGGAAAGAAAAACATGTAAAATGCTTTCAATGTTGTTTGCAACGTTTCTGTTAGTCATTCAGTTTCCAAGTTACATGTACATGTATTTATAGCTGTGTCAATTTTGTGTTCATTGATCATTAAGAAGTGCAAATCAAATCTTTTTTTCTGACTGTTTTGTCCCACATCTCATTTGCTTAAGTTAGGATGTTCATGTACCATTATCTGATGCTTATCAGTAACAAGGTTTTACAAATGATCCCCTGAATTGCAGATATTATGTGCTATTTTACATTAAGGTTGTTGTGTCTAATTTCTGCAGAGCCTTAACCCTAAAAGAGCCGGAGACGGTGAGAGAGACAGCATCTGCCCCCCCCCCCAACATTTTTCTGGCATCACCGCAGTGCAATTTTTCAGGAGCTGTGCCTAGAGGGGCTTTTAGAGTGAGTCTTTGTGGTCATTTTGCCCCCAATTTTGTGAACATCGAACATCCCATGCTTGTGCAGTGCACTTTTTCTGAGACAGGTCAGCCTAAAATGTATACGTTTTCAACTGCGGTGCTCAATGCCAGCTGGCATTGTAGCACAAATGACCGAAAAAAACCCAGGTCTGATTGAGTTCACAATTGTAATGATAAGGAATGTCTGTACATTCATGCCCAATTTCAAATGAAATCAAGAGTTGCACAGCAAATTCTTTGGGAGGGGGAATTCTCCCTCCTCCCCCATAAGAAGGGCCTAGAATAACCAGACTCTTTGAGGGTTAAAGTGTAGCTGCAGTTAATTTTTCTTGGACACAATTTTTTAAGTGATGTCATCCAAGGAAGACATAGTTCAGTGTATCTGGTTTGTGAATGACTTTGTCATACATGTACACGCACCAACATTTTTCTGTTCAAATTGTAAACCCAGAATATACATGTACTTGATAAAACATTTCTGAGAGAGGGATTGATGCGCGCTCACCCAGCAAATCTACAAAATTCAAAATATTTTTATGTACTGTAAACCAATGCAACACTGAGGCTTTCTTCCTGGGATGACATCACACTTTTGCTCACAAATATGGAAATACTCATTAGCATAAAAACCAAACAGGCAGTAAAATACCCACTGAAATAGTACAATAAAAATGAAAATAAATTCTATTGAGACACAAAGGCGCACTTTGAAAGTCTGAATTAAAACAAATTGATTGCAGCTATCCTTTAAAGTGACAGGTGTTTACAAAGGGCTACATAGTTTCAAAGAGCAGCTTTGCACAGATTATTCTTCTATGCCTGGACAATTTCTGCTCATAATCAAAATCTGGTTACCAACCAAAAATCCCTGTACCCAGTATGCCGTTTTGACTGGTTTATGGCTGAATAGAACCTAAACTTGCTGAGTAACATCTTCTGAGTCTCTGTAAAAATGGCTCTAAGCTTTGTGATGGTAGACTTTTAAGGCTTTACAATGAGTTTTACTCACCAAGAATGACACTTGCTGGGGACAGAGCAACGGCGCTAAAGAAATAGCAATAGAACAACTTCTCTACATCACTAAAGGAGAGGAGGTGAAAATAAACAGGGAAAGAAAAGTCAAAATATATGTACATTCAAGCATTCATTACGCGTAAGGTTGACTGTTGTAATGTTTTATTATATGGACTTCCCCGATTCTCAGATATCAAAGCTACAAAAAGTGCAAAATGCTTGTGCCAGACTTGTGTGTAGCTCTGCTAAATACTGCCATATTTCCCCTTTGTTGGTTAAATTACATTGGTTGCCTATTCGATAGAGAATTGCATTTAAAATACTTTTGATAACATTTAGGGCTTTGCATGGCTTTGCACCAGGTTATATCTCAGAATTACTAACACCTAAATCCCAGTCACATATGTACAGTCTTCGTAGCTCACAGGACAGGATGATCCTTAGTCATCCCTATTGTAGAACTAAGGCAACTTTTGGAGACCGTGCATATATTTGTGATGCTCCTAGGCTTTGGAACAGACTGCCCTTTCATGTAAGAAATGCTAAATCTGTTGACACATTCAAGATTGTTCTAAAAACTCTTCTCTTTCGTGAAGCTTTTTCCAACACCTGATTTTCATTTCTACTAGCGATGGGTATTGTTATGTGCAGTTGAGTATATTTGCTTAGCATCGGCGCAATATAAATGTTCCTTATTATTATTTTTATTTTCATTCCAACTACAAGCCAACATCTTTTTCACCCTATCACCCTTTGGGTGAAAAGACATAAGTCACATGTTACAGTCAGTAATTAGTGATTTGCACTTACTGAATTGAATCATTAAGATATAAACACTCTGCACAGGGACTTATGATATCGTGGACTAATCCAAGTAGACGCCATTACTGTAGCAGCACTGCACTCTAGTGCACATTCAACTGATGCACATGCATCTTGGCAAGTCACTGCACCCTATCGGTCAAAGAGGCATCTCTCACATGAGACACGGCACCCTGTTGGTCAAAGAGGTACTTCACACATGAGAACCACCTGTCCACGAGTACGATGCAGTGCCACCCCAATAAAGGCCTCTAATTCTGGGCACTGAATTTGGTACAAGCGAAAAACCATGGGTTGTCTTCAATAGCCCTAAATCATAATGTCACACTTTGTTTATGTGTAAGCTTTCCTCTGGCAGCAAAACTGATTGTGTCCATCTCACTGCCATAGGAGACATACACATAAAGCATGACGTCATTACGTTTTACAGTGTGGGTCTACAGACCTCTATCATTGGGCAGCCATCTTGTTTTTCTACCATTCAAAGCAATGTAACCAAACTGAGGCTGGAAGGGAAAAAAGTCTGCTCCCTTTATTAATAAATGTAAGGGGATACTGGACACAAAACAAACATGGCAGCATCATGATAAATGTCTACTTTAGTTCCCTCTACAGTGAGATACAAAACCAATGTCTTCATACCAGAAGCTAATGCACTGCACATAGACCGTACTTAGTAGTCTTTGATCTAAACAATGTAAAGTGTCCAACCATACCTTAGGTTTATTGCCGATCCTCTGGCTGTGGAGTAAATTGCAAAGGAACTAGCTGAGAGGACATAGATAAGCATCCAGAAATAACCCTCTTCATAACTCCCTTCATCTCTCTAAACATTGGGAGAGAAATCATCCGAAATTCATCCCAAGTAAATTACTTGGTGTATCATGGTACGGAACTGTGACCCATTGATTTAAATTTGTTTATTTGTGAACTAAGGGTCGGGTTGAATGT